GCCAGCCTCTGGGGCTGCTCTGTGTTTTGCCTCTGGGGCTGCTGCAAATGAAGGGTCATACTAGGTGGGTATAGTTGGGTGCATCCAGTGACCGCAGTGAGCCTCCTTCAGAGCAGGTGTAGGGGGGCCGATCGAGGTAACTCCTTGCTCAGTTCAGAAGCACCAGCGACTGCAAAGCTGATGAAGTTTATCCTGTCCCCCTTTATGCTGCAACCTGTCCCCTCTTGTTTGTGCCAAGTAGCCTCCTGCTTCCACAGCACAAAGGACCCTTAGGCGCAGAGAACTGCTTTTAAAAGTCAGTAAGGAACATTAGAGAACATCGTTTTCAAATACTGTGTATACTACATAAACCCATCCTCCTAGGAGAGCATCATAATTCTCACTTTTATACTTCGTTCAACCTGCAAATATGTTTTCCATAGGTTTGTACTCTTGTGAATTCTATGTTTACGCTATTCTATTGCATTTCTCCATGTTCCTACATAGTCTTCACTCACCATTTTTAAATTGCTATAGATGCAATATAATTCATCAGACCATTCTCTCTTTTTTTAAAAAAAATGTTTATTTTGAGGAGACAGAGCACAAGTAGGGGAGGGGCAGAGAGAGAGAGAGAGAGAGAGAGAGAGAGAGAGAGAATCTGAAGCAGGCTTCAGGCTCTGAGCTGTCGGCACAGATCCCAATGCAAGGTTCGAACCCACGAACTATGAGATCATGACCTGAGCTGAAGTTGGACACTTAACCAACTGAGCCACCGGGCTCCCCTAGACCATTCTCTTAATGTTAGGCAATCAAGTTACTTCTGTTCGTTGGCCAAATTAGATATGCAACGGGGAACCTCTGTAGGTTATATAGCTTTTAGTTTCTGTTTAATTATTGACTTAGATTTAATAGCTAAGGAACTCCCAAATTAAAGGATGTGAGTCTCTTTGGTGGTATTTGCTCTTATTATAATATCGCCTCTGGAAATGTTATGGCACATTGTGTAGGTATAATATGGATAATACCATTTTAAAGCAAATTTGTTTCTTTAGGTATTATATGGTAAGTCAGCAGTATGTCAAAACTGCTCTGCTTCGCATTTTAAAAGTTTCTAGTAAGAATGAATATTTTCTGTCTCCCCCATAAATTTTATGTTCATGTCATTTACACAGTTGTCTCTAGGGACCTTGATGGATATATTTGGATATGTCGATACGTAGACCTCTGTGGTATTCTTGCCATTTAACTTGAAACTTCTCATGGGGAAAGAGACAAATCCAGCTTGTGGAACATTCCATGAGACAACATAAATGTATCATAAAAGGAGAACTGGGCTGTTCCAGATTAAGAAGGCTAAAGAGACTTGGCAACTAAATGCAAGGCAGGAGCTCTAAGTAGCTTCTGAACAAATTGAAAGCCCCACCAACTAGAAGAGGCGTTTGGAGGAGGGCAACTAGAGAGATTTGGATATGAACTATATGATAGATAATCATATAGCAGTGTTCAATTTCGTGACCCTAATACTGTGGTTATGTAGGAGACTGGCTTTGTTCTTAGGAGATGAAGGCTGAAGTATGTAGGGGTGAGGTGTCACTGCGTTTGCCACCTTCAAATGGCTTAGCAAAACTACATAGGTTTATATCATGTTATATGTTAATATAATTAAAACATGATCAGGTTATAATACTAATATTGTAATTATATACTGTTATGTTCATGATGTAAATAAATGTAATACATTATTAGTCTGTATTATATATGTCTGTAAATAATAGAAATTATTCACAATATATATATTTTTAAATGTTTTATTTATTTGTGAGAGAGAGAGAGAGAGACAGCATGAGCAGGGGAGGGTCAGAGCGAGAGGGAGACACAGAATCTGAAGCAGGCTCCGGGCTCTGAGCTAGCTGTCAGCACAGAGCCTGATGCGGGGCTTGAACCCACCAACCGTGAGACCATGACCCGAGCCAAAGTTGGATGCTTAACTGACTGAGCCACCCAGGTGCCCCCACAATATATTTAATATCTAATATATTAACTGATTTTTATATACACATCTATATACATTTATAAATCTGTCCTGTCACACTCACACCACACACTCCCATAGACACACGTGTTACACACGTGGGGATGCGTTACCCCACAGGAACTGCATTTTAATGGAGACCCTTGACAGCAGCAGGAGATGCTAAAGGGATCAGTTTCTGCTGGTGACTCCAGGCCCAGCAGGGAGGTTCTGGGGGGCTGAGGAACCCTGCGGCCCCCTCATGATCCAGGCATGCGGGTGACAGGCCCAGAGACTCTCTGGCCGGACCCGTGGCTTGCCCGTCCAGAGGAGTGCGGGAGGGAGTGTGCTTACCAGCCAGGGGCCCCGGCCCTTTCTCCTGTTGCCTGCCCTGCTTCGCACATGGCGGGTGGGGAGGTTTCCCTGTGTTCTTCCTCTCCTATAGCCTCCCGCCCCCACGCATCTTTGACACAGAATGTAACTCACAAGGCAGTGCGGATGTGCTCAGGGCACAGGGAGGGCAGAACCCTTTGTTCAGTCCGACAGTCAGACCCGCCCTCAGAGGAGTTATTCTTGGCTCTCTAAGCTGCCCCCCAGGACCCTCCCCACGCCCACCACAGACATTAAGCAGCTTCTCCCCGGGTGTGAGTGCACCCCTCCAGGCGGTCTTTAAAAAAAACCGGTGGGGTCAAATTAGTGGGTTGCTGTGTTACCGTATCAAATCACTGGAAACTGAGTTTAGAAGGTCGATTTGGTCGCTGGCCATTTCTGTAAAAAGGTGAGAAATGAGGCCCCTCGGGAATCCCTGTGACCCCTGTCCCCGCAGGACTCCCTTGAGGAAACTAGATGGGACTCATCATGAGTTTCCCTGGAAATACTACTTTCCAGAGTCCAAATGACTAGTAAACTCGAGGGATTCGCAAATCAAATTGCACCGTAAATGCAACAGGGGGCCGACTTACTAGTTCAGTACGTCCCGTGGGGAACCCAGTGAAGGCAGTTAAAGGGTGCCTTTTCCAGAGAATTCCCTTCCTCTGGCCTCAGCTGCCCGGACCTGGGGGTTGGGATCTGGAGTCTTATAGAACAGGTATATAGCAAGGAAGGGCTGCATAGACTCATTTTATTTTAATTACCCCTGGGTTTGTTTTTTTTTTCATGCTTATAAAATAGTAGACTATTCTGAATATAGTGAAAAGTAGGAAGCGGAAGAAATGGAAGTCAGCTATAATTGCACAATTGGGTGATAGTTGCCAGATTGTGTGTGTGTGTGTGTGTGTGTGTGTGTGTGTGTACATATCTCTGTGTTAAAACAGAGCTGGGAAAAATAAATAAATAAAATAGCTGGGACATCCCCATGAGCATTTGGTCAGCTGAGTCTTGGTCCCTAGTTGTGGCGGGTAGGAGGTGGCCTTTCCATATTCCATCTCTTCCCCTGTCAGAGACTTTTTGAAATACGAAGCAGCGGTTAAAAAGGGGACCCAGGCAGGCTGGGGGCCAGGAAGCAGGGGGTCCGCAGGCAGATGCCCATCCGGATCACCGGTGTCTGTGCTGCGGGTCTTTCCCCTGTTGCCATTATACGTCCCTCCACCCCTACTCTCTGTGCATAGACAGGTCGCCCTTGGATTCGACAGCTGTTTGGCTCACACGTGCCCCCTGCTGTAAACAACCGTATTTTCAAAGAGGTCTGGGAGGAGCAGTGTTTCTTCTCCCCAGGAAGGGCACCGTCGCGGTGGCATATGGGGTGTGGGGAAACGCTTGGGGGGACAGAGCCTTTTCTGTGCCTTTTAGGCAGAGCCATGCAGACTTTCCAGCGCCCGCACTAGTGCTGGGAACCAGGCGGGAGAGCGGAGCCTACTTCCCCTGCCCTCGGGAGAAGCCAGAGGCAACTCAACTCTGGTGTTACGAGAGCCCCTCAGATAGAGCCTCGGGACTTTGCTGTTGAGAGAGCCGGCTGCCCCCCAGAGCAGTGTGCGGAGCGTGGAATGGCGGCTTCTCCCCGCTGTCTGGGTTAGAACCTGGGCTCCGCCACTTAGTAGCCGTGTTAACAGGAATGGGGGGCCGAGGCTTTCTAGTCCTCAGTTGGCACACCTGTGAAGTGGGGCTGCCATCCGTATCCTTCGAGAAAGGGCCGTTGTAGGGATTCAGGTAAGGCCTCCGGGAGCGTCAGCTGGTATTTTCATCGTACTCATCCGCGGGGCTGCCCTCCCAAAATGCTGTCGGCTGGGTGGTTTCAATGGTGGAAATTTCTCCTAGTTCGGAGGCTGGTCAGGTGAGGGCCGTCTTTCTGCCTTCGGACGCCCACCTTCTCGCGGTGTCCTCATAAGATAGAGAGCGAGCCCAGGTCTCTTCCTCTTCTCAGGGCACTGGCCCCATCCTGGGAACCCCCGATCATGACCGCGTCACACTGTCAGGTAGAGCGTCAGCGTGGGAACTGGGGGGGGGGGGGGGCATAAATATTCAGTCCATGGCAATCGCTCTTGTTGTCATTTATTAGCCCCCTTGCAGGGCTTTCTTAGGTTTGCAGCGACCTCTCCAATGGAGGGAAGGAAGAAATGAGGACGGGCCTTTTGTCTCCGGTGAGGCCTTAAAGTCCGCAGGGGGGGGGGGCCTTGGGCCTTCCGGATCACCGCTCTTACCGTGTTCTGTTTCCCTCTCCCTTTGACCTTCGGTAGAAGGCTCCCGATTGTCCTAGCCTGGAAGAGGGGAAGGAAGAAAAGTCAGATTAGGTGGCTGCCTCTCTGAGCCAGGCAGCTGGGGGCAGAGGGTTCGCACCACTGACCCCACAGCCCCCTGGGTTTCAGCACAGTCGTTCCCACTGACAGAGGGCCCGGCCTTGAGGCTCCAGGCAAGGAAACGCCGCCGTCCAAGGTCACACTGTGAGAAAGTGCAATAAAATGGGCACCTTGAGCCTTTTAATTCTCACAGGTGCCAAGAGTGGGGTAGGAGGTGTCTCCTGAGGTGTGCTAACCCGGACTGTGTTTTCTTCTCTGCTCTTGTCCTTCCCCAGCCCCTAAAGACAATGAAGAGCGCGTGTTCAGGGAGCGCATGCGGCCCAGGAAGCGGCAGGGGGCCGTCAGGCGCAGGGTCCACCAGGTCAACGGCCACAAGTTCATGGCCACCTACCTTCGGCAGCCCACCTACTGCTCCCACTGCAGAGATTTTATCTGGTAAGGCCCTCTCTCCCGGCAACCTCTAGTTATGCCTTCTCTGAGGCGAGAAGTCGGAGAAGGGATGTAGGAGGATAGAAACTTATTTTTAACGTGCTAATGTGTTTTATGTCCTCTTTATTTGGTTGGAGAAGACTTTTCTGGAAGGCTACGTGAGTGTTTAGTGCTTGGGCGGGCGGTGGGGGGGGGGGGTAAACGGAAACAACAAACCGTGGTTCCTGGTGACTTTACACTTAGCGTCATATCACATAGCACATTTAAGGAGTTAAGAGTTTATGACCAGTAATGGAATCTTGTGATGTATTTTTTTTAAAGCATCCTTACCTTTCAGAGGCACAAACTTAATTACTTACCAATGATATGATGTCTGGGATTTGTTTAAAAATGATCTGGAAGGAGAGGAAAGGGGCCAGGGGTAGAGACGGCATAATACCAGCCACGTGTTGGTCATTGTTGGGGCTGGGTGATAGGTCTGCTATGTTTATGTCTTTATTTTTGCATATGTCTGAGTTTTTCTGCTATAAAGCTTGAAAAATACTTGGTTGCCAATGCCTGAAACTCAAAGCAGTTCTTAATAACTGTTGTAGCAGTGGTGCTACTAGGATGGCCAGATTTCCGAGGAGTGAGAGAACAGCATTGGCTGGAGCACTCAGGGATGGCTTCCCGGAGGAGGCGGCATTTCTTTTCTCGTGATTTGGTAGGCAGAGACAGATAGGGTGTAGGCCTTTTGGGAGGAGGTGGAGAAGGAAAAGGAGCATCGGCTTGGGTATTGGAGGGGGGATTTTAATGGATACCTACCATGTGCCAGGCTCGCTCTTAGGCACTGAAAATGTCTCAGTAAATCTTCCCAGTGTTCTACGAGCTTTGCATTATTAAACCCATTTCCTTAACAGTACTGAGGCTCAGAAATGAAAACAAGACTAGTCTGGCGTCCCCCAGGTAGGAAGTGCCAGAGGCCTGACTGTAAGCTTCTCCTGACATCCCACCAGCCTTTCTGGCAACCTCTCTGAGCTCTTGAAGTTTGCCACCACACTCGGATTCTGGGTGGGGGAGAACGAGCGAGGGCAGTCTGCAGCATGGACCGTGCCAGGGGACTTTTGAATGGGACTCTGAAGACCCCCTGGATTCACAAGGGGTCCAGGAGTGGCTTGTCTTGCCCTTGTGGTTTCCCAGGACTAGGCACCGAGGTTAGCATGGACATCTGAGGCGGTGCAGCTCAGAGCAAACCAGACCCGATGGAAGCAGAAATAACACCCCACTCCCACCCACAGATGCATTTGTCCCCCAGGGCCGCTTCTGCCCTCTGACCTCCATCGTCTGTATTTCGGTCATGAGTTGTGTGTTTGGAGGGAGTAGGCTGTGAGAGCTGAGATGTATGGATTCAGGTCGCCTCTGGGCCCACGGCGAGCACCACTGAATTCCAGGCTCCCTGAGGCACTGCCCCTGGGTGATGTCTGGCTCCTGCCGGGCTGGGAATTACAGATTGCTCCCTGGCCAGTTGGCGGTTCACTAAGGACAGGGCCCCCGGGCCAGGTTGGTTGGATTGTTCTGTGTCATGCTGACCCTAACCCTGCCGCAGGGGACCCTACGCCTGCCATGGAAGGAGCCTCTAACATTAGCCTTCATCACACAGTACACTGAATCCCTAGTCCTGACCACAGACTGACCTGGAGCTCTTGACTGCTTCTGGAATGCCCAGGGGATGTGCCTAGAGGCAGCAGCCCACCTACATGATGACCCACCGGGAATGGCACATTTGACTAGTCAAGGCCTACCTTGAGCAGGCAGTCTTTGTGGCTTTCCAGAACACAAGTCGCCCCACTGGAATGGCTGTTTGTCTAGGAAGCCAAGACCTGACACTGACCAAACTCTGTCCCCATTCCAAACACTGGGTCTACCCTCTGTTGCCTATTTTAGGCACCCTGCAGCTGGGAGTGAAATCACTAGCTGGAACCCCCCGCCACGTACTCGGTGCATTGTGGGCGGTGGCCGGAATGGGGCGGCTTTGTGTGCTTTTTGACCTCCTAAATTGTATTAAAAGGTTGTATTCTTCTTTTCAGGGGTGTCATAGGAAAGCAAGGATACCAGTGTCAAGGTAAGAGGCGTTGTATGAACTAAATCCTTGGGGGCCCACAGATTTATCGGGGTCAGTGGCAGGGGAAGCGTATGCTGGCTCTGACGACATTTGAAGGCTCCATACAGTTTGCATGCTTATGCTCCCTCTCCGAGAAGCAAGGCCCTGCCTTTCTGTGCCCCCGCCTGGCCCTGGTCCTGCATTCGCACATGGGAGCAGAGTACCTGGGGGCGCCCCCCCCCCCCGTCTCCAGGTGTCCCAGGGGTCTTAGCATCTTTCCTGGTGACACAACAATTCAAGGCCCTCTGGAGGCCCCACTCTGCACGGAGCCAGGCTCCGTGTGTTCTGTCCGCTCCCTCCCTCTCTCTCTCCCTGGAGAAGTTCCCTCACCTCCTGACACTCCATGGCCCACACTGCTTCTCTTTTTTTCAGTCTCTGCTGTGGATTCATGAGCTTTTAAGCATTTAAGACTCACTTGAAGTTACTGCAGATTGTTTATTTCCGGTTCTTTGACAAAATCGCAAGGTGGAGTCGTCCAGGGTTGGAGGGTGGCTACGCGCTGTGGTCGTGACAAGGATCCCTCTTGGTTAGAGCTCACCCGGCCACTGGTTAAGTGGGGTCTCACCCCTGGGGGACTTGGATAGGTGTTCTTGGACATTCCCGTGTCCTTGGGGTGTCACGTACACAAGCAGTCGCTTTCCTCTTTGACCACCCTGCCCCCTGACGCTGACGACAGAGCTGTAGGCTGCTATGAAATGAAACAAAAATGCTCGGCACGTAAGGACATAACCAGGTCGAAAAGCTGAAAAACCTCTGGTGCCACAGGACATCCATCCCCTGCCACTGTGTTCCTCATCACAGCTGCCAGCGCTGACGGTCCAGAGTAGAGCACGGGGCCACTGCAGTGCCTTTAATAGACCTGCTTCGCGGAAGGGAAACTGTTCCCCGACCTTGGCATAAAGAAGCAGGGACATTGATCGGTACTTCTGGAACTAGAGAAAAGTGCTGACGCCTCTGGGTGTGAGCGGTGCACTCTTCTCCAGAGCATTTAGGAAACCCTAATGGCTCTGATGGCAAAGTGCTTTGAAATGACTGCACACTGCACAGAAGGCTTCCAGCCAGGGTGTTCCTTTAAGACTTGGTGGCAGAAAGGGCGTGGCTCCCCTCAGCCCTCTACTGAGACCTGAATCTCCCCACTTGTCGCTCAGCCTTCCCTTTTTTTTTTTTTTTTTGCTGTTTGCAGTTTGCACTTGCGTCGTCCACAAGCGATGCCATGAGCTCATAATTACGAAGTGTGCTGGACTAAAGAAACAGGAAACTCCTGACGAGGTAAATATTTCTAACATTGAAATTCTGGGCTTTCTTCACTGCCACTCCCACCCTCCCCTGCCTCCTCCAGGCTTCCTAAGAAAATCCTTATCTCTCTGAGATCTCCTTGCTTTCTTCGTTGTGTTTGATCAAAATTAAAGGAGTTGTCCGCAGCCTTCTAGCGTGAGGCACCCTCCACAGAATGAGTGTGGCTCAGAATCAGGTTCACATCTCATGCGAAGAGCCGTGTGACCCCAGAGCTAAAGCCTGTGAGGAAAATGTGAATTGGTTTGTCATTATCTCATAAGAACAGAAAAGTAGCTGGCATATCAGTAGCTCCACGCCACTCATAAACGGTGAGAGACATAATGCACAAGCGAGAACCTTTCTTTATGAGGCGATGGGGGAATGGAATGGAAGCACCAAACCCAAGAAACACTTAGGAGGTGGAATAGCCACAGTAATAATAAGAGGCAACATTCACTGGGTACTTACCATGCCCTGATTTCAGTACTTCATCATATATTATTGAATCTCATGACAGTCTTAATGACATCAACATACTTACCCATCTTCATTTTGCAACAGAGAGAGTAGAGGCACAGTGGGGTCAGATTAACCTGCCCCAGATCACCCAGCTGCTATGTGAAAGAGCCCCGTTCAAACCCAGGTAGTCTGTTCTATTAGAGTCTGAGACCTTGACCACCAGACTTCATTGTCTCTTATCCTTACGAACGAGTATTGTATTGCTTATTAGGGAAGTCGCTAGGGGTAAGGAAGCAAGACGATTCAACAGTGAAGGTAGAGTCTTCCTAACAGCATTTGGGAGAAGAGTGTGACTGAGAGTTTGGATGTTCCCTGTGTTCATAACAGTTGATTTCAAAGGCATGTTTTGTATTCTCGGTGAAATAAATACAGTATAATCACAGGGCATTAGAATTGGGAATCAGAGAGGCCCTAGGTGGGCTCATAATCAGGTGGATTAATAACGTGTCTTCTGAAAGGAATAACTCCACGACCTTCTGCTGCTTAAAAATAATTCAACCAAACGGCATCCTCGCATCTGAAATATCTCCTATCTTTTATCTCCTTTTGCTTTCATGCGGTCTCCAGAAAGCAGCAAGGGACAAAGCTTGGATGGAACCTTCTATGTCCCTGAAGGGCAGGCAGCCCAGGGCGCCAGGGTTTTTTCCAGGGGCTCTACTGTCATGGCGGAAACTACAGGTCGTCACTACCTGGGGCCTCCTGGCTTCTGCGCCAGGATCGTAACCCAAGTACATTGTCAGTTGCTTTTCTAGTAAATGAGAGACAGATGGCTGACAGATGTTCCCTCCTCTGGACAGTCCCTGAGCACTTCTGGTTTGCCAGCTCTCATACCATGTCCCCCAGAAACCAGGCGAGGGGCACACAACTCCCGCCCCCCAGGACCATCAGCTGCCAGCCTCTCTATATTTCTACAGCTTTTTCATGTCTCCTTGGAGAGAAGAGTCCCAAGTGAGCCCATGCCATGCGGACTAGAGGGTAGAGATTTGAAATACCCACAGGAGCTTAGTCTGTGACCGAGTTCTTCCGTCTTTCCTGGCATATTGGCAGTGAATCCAAGTCATCGGTGAGGTGTGTTCCCACACTCGGCATGTCTCCCGAGGAGATAAATTGCCAAGGATTGAGGCCGGTGGCTGTGGGTTTCTCAGCCTTGTGGAGTTACTGCCCAACCCGGCGCTCCCAGGGCCAGTCCCCTTTAGCACTGGTGTTCCCCAGCACACCTGGGCGACGGACGCGCTCTCTGCCCGATACAGCACCGCTGGGGAGAGCGTCCTTTGAGCTCTTTTTTTTTTCTGTAACTGCCTGCATGTGCGTACACACATGCACACGTAGCTTTATACACCAAGCGTCTAGTGTCTTCCTATTTTCCGCTGCTTTGGCACTTGGGCACCGTGAGCACCCAGCTGATGTTGTCTCCCTGCTCGGCATCTGTGGGCTAGCCCTCCCGACACACCTCTCGCGCACTTCCGAGCGTGGAGACCCAGGAAGGCTCCCTGTTGTGTGACCTTCCTTCCTTCATTTTTTAACCTTCCAGGGTTGTCTTTCCGCTCTGTTCTTCTTCCCCGTGACCTCTGTGTTGAGTGGTGTGTGCCCGTGTGAACCTTCACACATGCGCTCTTGTGCCTGTTTCGCAGCCTCTCTGATTCTGGGGCTCTTGCCTGTGCCCCGCCAACCTCCCCCCATTCTCCGACCCCTTAGGGTCCTTCGTGGTCCTAGCTGAGGGTCACACAGCTCTCCCCACCCCTCACTGAACGAACATCCTAGTTACTGGATACTTGCCCATCTTTTTCACCTTTGTCTGTCACCCATGTCCCCATGAGGCTCATCCTGGGACGCATGACCCTGTTCTCCACGTGGGTCCACCACATCTTCAGCATTTGTAGGAAAAGGGTGGGTACAGCAGTCTACATCCTTCAGAGTGAGCAGGCACACGTGGAGGTAAGGTGCCTATATTCACTCACACGTACATCTAAGCTATGAGTCTAAGGAGGGATGGGCGCTATTGTTTTCAGTAAATCAGGGGATCTTGTACTGGGCCATGACCCTCATTGATAGCCCATGCATCTCAAGCTGGGGTCAGTAAAATTCTGGCCCAGTGGAAGGATCGGCCTCTCTGTGCCTTGTTGTGAAAGCAAGTGACCCTGAGGGCATGTGTGCATGTGACAGGCACGCCTCCACATTTGTGTTCAAGTGTGCATCCTCCCTTTTGTCATGTATGTGTCTGGCTTTATCCCCACCTTCCATGCTTCCCAGCCCAGGGGTCTTTCATTCACCAGTGTGCAGCAAGCCAAGGACAGACAGCTTCTTTCCTGCCTGCTTGGTACTCCCTGATTCCCAGAGTGGCAAGAGTGACCTCTCCCAGCCTACGAGGTCTCAGGTGATGGTCCCTGCCCATTTTGAAGGGGACCTGGTTCACATGGCTGCTCCACTAGGGACATAGGTAGAGAGTGGCTCCACGGAGGGGCATAGGAGACTCAGAAAGGTAGACCATGCTGATGACCCCTCACTGCTGTGCTTCTCATCCGCCCCACAGCCCTGAGACATTAGGTGGAATGGGGTGCCATCTTTATCTGCCACGTAGGGAGTCTGTGGCCCCACGAAGGCAGGAAATTTGTCCGTGACCTCCTAGCTGGTTGATGGCAGACCCAGGCCTGCGGATCAGGCTCCCTGGACTCCTCCTCCCTGACCTTCCCCATTCATCTTGCCACCTTGTCTTTACTCCTTTCCAGTAACTTGTCAGTAGCAGCAGTTAAAAGGCCTGGGCTCTGAATCCACACTTGCGGGCATCAAATCCTGGCCCTGCCACTCATCAGCTTGCAGGCATGCTTCTTGTTCCCACTGTGCCTTAACTTCCCCATCTATAAACTCAGGCTCATGATGGTATTTAGCCCGTGGGGTGCTGGCAAGGCTTCACGGTGATTGGTGGCGCCTGGCCTGTGACCGGCACTGATCGCTTAGTGCCCGCAGTGGTCACCACTTCTGCACCACAAGGATTGTCCCAACCGATGGCTGACAGTTTCCACAGCTGTGCTGGGTTTTCAGGGTGTTTGTAGAATCTGCCCACCATCGAGCTGCCCAAAGACGGTACAGGTGCAGCCCTCATGCCCCAAGCACCATTGAAAAGCACACACGACACCTCCTTAACCACCAAAACGTGAGGTAGAAAGTGGGTGATACGCGCTGTGAGAGTTTGAAGCCTGCTGTGCTGGAGGGACTACACAGGGGACAGGCCTGACTTCCCAGGGTCAAACGGAGACGTGGAGAATGAATTACGGGCATCAAGAGCTGAGGCCAGGGAGGTTCTCTACTTTGTTTGTCAGGGTGGCTTCCAGAACCCCGCTTGGACCTGTCCCGCACAGCGGCCATGCCTTCGGGGACAGCAGGTCTGTAGGAGCTCCAGCACAAAGCACTCTGTGTGTGAACGACCTTGGCAGTGACCCTGTGTTTTGCCGTCCCTGCAGGTGGGGTCCCAGCGGTTCAGCGTCAACATGCCCCACAAGTTCGGTATCCACAACTACAAGGTCCCCACCTTCTGCGACCATTGCGGGTCCTTGCTCTGGGGCCTCCTACGGCAGGGTTTGCAGTGCAAAGGTAAGGTGCTCCGTGCCCTGTCCTCACCCTTCGTACCCACGTGTCCCCTTGGTCTCCTTCTTTCTTGAAAAAATCCCTTTTCCCAGAGCCTCCCGAGTAAGTTCCAGGTCTGGCCGGAGGACTGAGCACAAGCCCTTGTTCAGCTCTCGGTAGTTACTCGTGAAATTTGTTAAACAATCCTATGCATATGGCGGCCAAGGAAACTCCATAGAGGGGATGTGGAGGGGGAGGTGTGCTTCCTCCATCTTTAAGACCGGGGAGCAAGGCGGGGCAACAAAATGAGTCCATAAAAGGGTAGATATAATTTAAGGAACAGATACGTTGGAGTAGAAGAGAAGAAATAGTTGTGGAGTGAGGAAGAAGTAATAGATACCCTGTCCCGATCCATGGTTCTGCATTTACTCTTGGGAGGAGCCATGTTAGGACACTGTCAACTAAGACATCTTATTGATCCTTAATAGGTCTGTTCCATAGGTGATATTATTCCCATGAACCTGAGGCTCGGAGACCAAGTAACTTTTCATGTCACACCACTTATTACCAAAAATAAGGTTCAAACTTTGGCTCTTGAGTCTCAAGTTCCTTCTTCTGTTTCCTGTTGTCCTGCTCACGAATTGTCTTCTGTTCAGATGAGATGGGAAACAATATGTAATAACGTGGGGTGGGGGGAACATGCTCCAGGGACCTGGATGGGGTGCTTCGTTTCATGGGCCGGTCCAGCTGGCACGCGGCATTGGACATCCGTGAAGTATTGGGATTTGTACTGAATATATTGTTAATAAATTCCCCCTGTGGAAAAATTCAAGGTAAAGGGTAGAAAGGAAACCAGAGGCCATGAACAAACAGGTCATTGAAGGGACCCCAGTGAGAAGTTATGAGTATTGGAAGGCAAGTTTATAGGTGTAGAGGGAATGAAGAGAAGGAGAGTAACTTAAGAGATATTGAGGAGTGATTTATTGGTTGTGTGACCAAATCCAACTGGGAGGGCAGTGACACCATTCACTGATTGGAAATATGAGAGGAACTCAGGTTTGAGGCAAAGATGGTGGAGTTGAGTTGAGGATGTGTTATCTTTGAGGAGCCTGTGTGAAACCTACCAGAGCTAACTGTTTGGGCGTTCCCATTGAAATTGGGGGGAAGTTCTATGGAGAGCATCCAGACTTGGGATTTGTTAGTGTAGTAGTTAAAGGTGCAGTAGGTAGTACTTAAAGCTGTGAAGTCAGTGTCATCCCCGGAAGAACCTGAGTGTCCTGAGAGAAGGTAACACGCTGAGGTTTGGGGGAGGAACGTAACCAGCATTCAGGGATGAGCCTGCAAAGGCAGTGGTGGGACTTCAGAGGTAGGAGCAAAGGTCTTGAGGAAAGGCATCGCGGAAGACAAAAGAGGTAGAGAGTATTTAAAAATGTTCAAAGGAAGTGGTAAGTCATGCCAGATGTCCCCCAGAGTTCATTCAAGGGAAGAAGTAGAACATGGAGTTGGATTTAACTCTTAGGAGGTCCAGTGACCCGGACAGGAGCTATCTTGGTGGGATGGAAGGCCAAGTGCGGAGGCTGAAGATGATGTATTTTCAGAATGGTTTAGATAATGAGGGAAAAGTCCGTGAAAACAGGAGAGATTAGTGAGCCGGGAGGGAGAGGCATGGGCCTTGAGGAGAAACATGGACACCCCTCCTCCCAGATGGATGGGAAACCTCGGGGCCAGGCATAGGTGCAGGTGTGTCTCCTGTGTCCGGGGTAGGAGGTGAGGGCACAAGATGACCCTTTAAGTTCTGACTCCTTTGAGGGCATCGCATGAGAACCCCCTTGTCTTCTGAACCAGGAGATCCCCCTTTCGAAGTTGAGGTAAGAAGTAGGTGTGGAGGGCATGAGGGGGTGGTGCAGTTTGGAAGCAGCAGTGCTGGGGACCGAGGGCACCCTGACTGGGGACAGGAGGAAGTGTTGGCTGTCCACACATCTGTCCTGGGTGGGCTTGCCCAGACTTTCAGACGGGCATCCCACATAAAACCCTGACACACAGAAGCGGGGCCTGCCCGACATCCTTCTTGACAGTAAGTGACATGAAAACAGTGGAAGAGGAGGAATTAAGTGGAGCAGGGCCCTCAAGTGTCATTGGCAGAGGAGTGATGCCCTTGGGGACGGTTGAGTGGGGTTGCCGGGAAGCGCAGAGCCTGCTTTGGATGCCCCTCTGATAAGGCCAGGCCTGCGTTTCTGTAAATATATTAATGATGGATCAATCTGGGGAATCTAAGTGAAGACACTTTCATCTCATAAATATTGCTTTAAGAAAGCAGCCCAGGCACCCAGATGTCACTGCCAGGGCTGTGGGGTCCTTGGATGACCCTAGAAGTAGGCAGGACCCAGGGACGTGTATTGAGCTGTTTCAGCAGGAAACACTCTCATGCCGGCTCCAGCAAAGGGAGGGGACAATGAGGCTACCTTCAGCAAGGATACCTGTTCCCAGGAGCCCAGAGCAGCAGGTAGGAGGCAGGCCACATGGACTTCAAGGCCAAGGCTGTCAGAATATAGGGTCCCCAGTGCACGTTCACAGATTGCCCCTCTCCCGTTCCCGTTACCGTGATGTGCTGCTCACTCCCTACATTTGTTACAATTGCTGAGCCAGTAGGACCCTGGGGACCCAGCATCCCTAGTTTACATTAGGATTCGCTCTTAGAGTTGGACATTCTGTGGGTCTTGACAAATGTATGATGACCTCAATCCAGCCTAACAGTCTCTCCAGAATGCTTTCCTTGCCCCAGATCTCCTGTGGCTACTTCTCCCTTTCGATCCTTTCTTAGCCTACTGTCTTTTTGCTCCTGCGGGCCCCTTCCCCTGTGGAGAGGGTGGTGGGCCGAGGAGGCCAGCAGGAGCCAGGGCAGGGGTCCCTCTTGCTTGGGCCTGAGGCTGGTTCTGCTGCAGTGCTTGCTAAGAAAAAGACACCAGGAACTAGACACGTGCCCAGGGGCTTAGAGCGTGTTCCTGTGGAGCCGGCGCTGACCCCGCCTGACTCTGATCTGGGCTCCGCACCCTCCCCTGCTCTGGAAGCCTCCATCAGGTTCCCACCTTCGCTGGATCGCACCGAGTTGGTCCCCGGACTGGGATCCTGGTCCCCTGGCCCACGCCTTCAGCTTTCTTGTCCCGTTCCTGGGAATAGGGCCACATATTTTCAGTGAAACCATTTTCTTGAGAGCTTGGGTCTACAGGGAAGGATCCACAAGGCTGTCTTGGCCAATCTCCCTTTGGCCTACAATTGTCTGAGCCACATGGGCTCATGGGTTTTGTGTGTATTCCCCTGAAGCCCGTCCCTCAGCCAGGTAGAGGGAACGTAATCACCCTGTTTTACTGGTGGGGGATGAGGGAGACCTGGAGTGCACAATGGGGATACAGTCAGGGACCCACGGGGACCCACCTCTGTCCTCTGGGCTGCCACCTCCCTGCCCATGGCCCAGAGGCACTGGACCCTAAGGAGGATACTCTGGGACACTTGTTGGATAACTGAGCTCCTTAGTCAAGGGTAGAAAAACACCGGCGCTAAGCACGCAGACGAAATAGTTCATCCCTGTCTTTTTTTTCCTTAGGATTCTAGTGGCTGTAGAGTCTGAGTCTCTCTCCAGACTCATTCAGCCTGAGAGCACCCCAACCACTGTTAGACTGGAAACTGGCTTCAGCCATTTAGAGGCCAGCATCACTGAGCCCCCGAGGCATGTGAATCCTTGTCGTTCTTCACTTAATTTTAACGACTCTGCTTCCCAGTGCGACCTCACCTGCACCATGAACCTCTCCGGCCCCTTTTGCGCCTGTGTGTTATTTTTCCACTGACATGTGGAGTCAGTCCCCCTGGAGGGAAAGGCACCCAAGACCTTATGATTTTTCTTTTCGTCTCTAAAGAAGACATGCATTCTCACCTTCCGGGGAGCCTGCCTTCCATTTCTCTTCTGCCCACACTCCCACGCTCCCATCCTCCAGCGCGGCTGCCCTCCATCAGGCATGGAGGGGGAAGGCAGCAGAAAGCCAGATCTCCCTACACCCCTCACAGCATGCCCTGCAGCACCCTGGTGTGTTCTTGTCTCTGCGTGAGATGGGCCCCCTACACCTGCCTGTCCTCTCTGATTGCAGCTCTGTCCCCAGGCAGGGGTGAAGGTGCCCTGGGGGAAGGTCTGGCCGGGAGGTTCCCAAAGAACCCTCCTCCTGGCTCCCTGCCTTTCTCTGAGATCCCATCTGAATAACCTCCCTGGTTTGAGGCTGCCTTTGTGGGCCAAGGAGCCAGAGTATGACTTCCTCTCCAAGAAGTGATGAAGAATGGGTCATTTTGTTGGGGGACAAATGACCTAGGGGAGTCGAGGCCCTTCGAGATCACAGGGTTAGTGTCTGGGAGGCTGTTCGGGTCCCGGTGCTATTATCGCCTGGCTGGGCAGTTGGAGGAGTCTGGGCTGGCTTCTCATCTCAGCTGCCCTCCCGCCTGCTGGGAACTCTGATGAAAATGGTGGCCTGAACCGTCTTCGCCGCGTACTTTGGGGAGTGGCAGTGCGGAGCCAGAAAGACCAGGGGAAGGAAGAAGATCCTTCCTTCCTTCCCCTCCTTCCTCCTTCCTTTTTTTTTTTCTTTAAGTGTTTTGGCCGTTTGAAAAACACTAAACGGACACAACAATGATTTTTAGTCTTATCATTTCCAGCAGTGTCAGTCCTTTATTCTTTTCCTAACAACTCGGCTCTTTGTCATAACTTGAAGGTTTGTTTGTTTTTTGAGAATGAAACAAAAAACAAGCACAAGTAATCTGTAAGTAATCCTCTAAAAGATTCCAGTAAGGCTTAAGACTTCTATAAAAGACATTAAAACCCTGTAATGGTCTCTTTCTGCTTTCATCCCTAGACTTAACTGCTGTGGGTCCTTTTCCAAGGGTTTTTTGGGTACGTTTGCTGCATGGATACCTAAACTCGCTCACTCACTCTGTTAGGTCATCTGTTGCTGCGTAACAAGTTATCCTGCAACCTAGAGGCTTAAAAC